TATACAGAGAAACCCTGTCTGGAGGGAAAATTCAGGCTGGATGTATTGCCACATGTCATTAATCCTGTCACTCTTAGAGTTCAAGGCTAGCCAGCTATATGGAGTTAGTTCCAGGAAAGACAGGGCTACACAGAGAAACCCTGTCTCAAAAGACAATATATATGTATTATTTATATATATATAATATATATAGAAAGTCAGACCCTGGTGGAGCAGTGCTCTCCTGGGTCAGCCTGCTTAACCACAGCTGAGCCAGCAGCCTCCTGTGCAGCAGCATATCGGTCAGTGCTGGGAGTCTTCTTGGGATCTGCCCCTGTGCTGGCCATCCCATCATATTCACCGGAACAAAGTGTTCACGCTGCCTTGGCCTGGGTGTGACCTGCAGTACTTACTGCTGTACTTCCGAAGCTCGCATTTGGAAATGAAGCTACTGAGGAACTGACATCAAGAGCTGACAAAGGGGTTTTTCTGAGAAGAGGACTACACTACAAGAACTAGAGCTACTTCCTTATGTTGTAAATCCATGTCCTTTATTCCCAACACACAGGAGATAGAAACGGGTAGATCTCTTTAGCTTGAGACTGCCTTGGTCTGTATATCAAATTCCAGGCTAGCTAGGGGTACGTAATGAGGTCATGACTCCAAATTAAATAAATAAAATGTATTGTTATCAAGGAAAGAGTAGCACGACCTTTTTCTGTGTATGTGTCATCCTGCCCTGGGCCTTACCCTTTGGAAAGTGTGGGAGAAGGGAGTGAGGTCAGAGGTCAGCCTAGGGACAGTTAGTGCTCTGAGGGAAAGGGACCTTCCTTTTACGGGTGTGTGCTGTGCTCATGAGAAGGAACCACAGAAAGAGTCTAGGCTGAGAATGTCCCTGCCTGCTTTGAAGGGCTTGAACAGGGTGGGAGGTGGTGAGAACTTGGACTTTGTCCAGTTGGAAGCAAGGAGCCATGAGCAGGCATTGAGTGGTTGAGGGCCATAGTCCGTGCTTTCTGACCAAAATCATGGGGACAGTGTATACTTCCTTCTGTCCCATGGAGGTTCAAGGACTACCTCATGTCCTCCCTCCCTCCAAAAAAGGTCAGGAATTGGGCTGGGCTGGCCTGGCTGTGGTGACCCTGGTCTTCTCCTGTCTCCAGAGAGATCTTGGTAGAAGAGAGCAACGTGCAGAGGGTGGACTCGCCGGTCACAGTGAGTACTCTGTTCCCTGGAACATGACTCGTCCTGAGTAACTTCCTAAGTGGTTCGACAACCCCACCCTGTTTATGAGGGGGTGATGCACCCCAGGTCTCTGCTGCTCCTCAGTCTTCAGGTGGGCCCTGATAGAAGAGTTAGATGGTGGGCAGAGCTTGCAGCTTAGTGGTGGATGCTTTCCTAGTGTGTATCAGGTCCCCAGCCTCAGCACTACAAGAAAATAAAGGAATTTTGATTTGTCACGGCGATGCTCATGGCCAAGGCGGAGGAAGTTGATTTGGCAGGCAGTTCTGGTTTGTGGATGAATGGCCCTGTGTTAGTACCTGTGATAGGCGCATGGGCAAACAGATGAAGCCAGTCTTCCTGGAGCTGTGAGTCTCTGCGGAAATCCACATCTGCACCCGAGTGCTTGGCTCTCGGTAGGGATAGACGATGCCGGAACAGGCTCACTTGTCCTGAGATGGAGTGATGCCGCCCCAGCTGGCCTGGAGAGTAGCAGGTGTTTTGGAGGATGGTCTCCAGGAACAGAGGGATTGTGCCTTTGTGCACCCTCAACCCCCATTCTTTCTTTTCAGGTATGTGGTGACATCCATGGACAATTCTATGACCTCAAGGAACTGTTCCGAGTGAGTGGGGCAAACTGGGGGTGACTGGAAGACACCGTTGAGAGGTCTTAAGCTGCATGGGCTCTGGGAGAAAGAAGGGGTTCAGCTAGACTCTGGCTGTTGCAGTGGGAGGGGATAGTTTGGGGCCAAGCAGAGCCATATCCCTCCTCCCAGGTAGGTGGCGATGTCCCTGAGACCAACTACCTCTTCATGGGAGACTTTGTGGACCGTGGTTTCTACAGTGTTGAAACCTTCCTCCTCCTGCTGGCTCTTAAGGTGAGGACCTTTGGCCCCTGGAGCCCGAGCCTTGGCCACTACTTGCTGCCCTCATCACCTTTCCTGTCACCTACCTTGGAACTTTGCTGTGGCTGTGGACTGTGTGCTTAGCGGGGCTGGTCATGACTGCTGCCATGAGTGGGGCCATCTCCAGAGCCCTTGAGGAAAAAGCTGGTGATGTGAGTTCTGGGAAGTAGTCAGAGATTCAGGAAGTGACAGTTGAGTGACCTAGGGGAGTGCATTGATGTGGGGCCACAGTGGGGCGGGGGCGGGCCTAACTAAGGGCTGGAGCCTGAGCCTGGCAGGAATCAGTAGTCTTGTAGTGCATCTCTAGAAAAGGCCCCCAGGAGCTGGGAGGCAGGGACACCATGATTATGTCAAGACAGCAGGGCTCTGGGCTACAGAGATCATGGTGAGGAGTGAGGCGGGTAGATATGTGGATGTTTGGGAGGGGATGAGTGGGAGACTGAGACTAGGACCAGTCCTGATGTGATGCTACCCCTAGGTTCGGTATCCTGACCGCATCACTTTGATCCGGGGCAATCATGAGAGTCGCCAGATAACCCAGGTCTATGGCTTCTATGATGAGTGCTTGCGCAAATACGGCTCGGTGACTGTATGGCGCTACTGTACTGAGATCTTTGACTACCTCAGCCTGTCTGCCATCATTGATGGCAAGGTACGTTGGCCCTGGATCTCCTCGGGGGTGGGGCAGGGGTGGTCTCTGGGCTTCCATCTCCCTTCTCTCTGCTATTACACTTTCCCTTGTAGATCTTCTGTGTGCATGGGGGCCTTTCCCCTTCCATCCAGACCTTGGACCAGATCCGGACAATTGACCGAAAGCAAGAGGTACCCCATGATGGACCCATGTGTGACCTCCTGTGGTCTGACCCTGAAGGTGAGGGTAGTGCCTTTAGCTTGTGGAGTTTAGATTTAAGCAAGTGTTTGAAAGAAGAGTCAGGCTAGGGGAGTTTGGGAAGAGGAGGGCAAGGTTGGCTCATACTGGCTTCTGTCTTCCTGACTGGACCCTCCATATGGAGCAGAAACCATGGCCAGTGGTGTGCTGAGGCCTCCAGTAGGTTGGCCCATGAATTCCTGGCTCAGGTCTGTTCAGTATGAAATCATTGGGTTCCCTGCGTGGGAAGAGACTATAGACCTTGATAGCAGCTGTTTTGGAGGTGAGACCCATTTCCCTAGATTGATGGCCCCTAGGAATCTTTTCTGCGTATGGTGTATTTCCCCCCTAGTTGGGGTCAGAATTGAGATTGAAAGCCAGACTGAGTAGAGAAAGCCAGTCCTAAGCTGCCCTCTAATCCCATCACTGTTGCTGCAGACTGCCCCATGTGGCATAAGAACACCTTGCTGCCCGGAAAAACCTTGTTCTTAGTGGTGCTCTGAACATTCTTTCCTCTTCAGAGCTTCTCCAGCATTTGCTATCCTGTCTCCCCAGATCCCCTAGAACAAACCTGGTTGATGAGGGAAGAGGTCCGGGCTTTTACCTCTGTGATAATAGTAGCCAGAGGAGCCCACACGCTGTCCTTGTCTTGTCTCAGACACAACAGGCTGGGGAGTGAGCCCCCGTGGGGCAGGCTACCTGTTTGGCAGTGATGTGGTGGCCCAGTTCAATGCAGCCAATGACATTGACATGATCTGCCGTGCCCACCAGTTGGTGATGGAAGGGTACAAGTGGCACTTCAACGAGACTGTGCTTACTGTGTGGTCAGCACCTAATTACTGCTACCGGTAAGCTGGCGGGGCTGGGAGCTGGGTGAAGGTAGGGGATCTATCTTGGCCAACCATTACTAACCATTGTTCCTAAATCCAGCTGTGGGAATGTGGCAGCCATCTTGGAACTGGACGAGCACCTCCAGAAAGATTTTATCATCTTTGAGGCTGCACCCCAAGAGACACGTGGCATCCCCTCCAAAAAGCCAGTGGCCGACTATTTCCTGTGATTCCTTGGCCCCAGCCCCTCTGGCTCTTGGACCACTGTGACTGCCCTCTGCCCAGCAGGACGGAGGCTGGGTGTGAGAGGCTGCTGGCTTTGCTTGCCCCAGGGTGCGGACTTGCTCTGGAGAGGTTGGAGCCTTAGCTCTGAGCTTCCTCTCCTTTCTCCCATGATCCATGAAGTTTCCAGTCATTTTTTTGTTTTCTTTTTTCCTTTTTTTTTTTTTTTTTTGTTTTTGTTTTTAGATAAAACATTTTGAGAAAAAAAAAGAAAAAAATTCTAATAAAAGAAGAAAAATAGTCTTGGGGTTTCTGTCAAGTTTGATTGGGGTGGACACGGAGATCTGTCCTGCTTGTTCTCTGGCCCGGAGCCTTCAGGCTCTGTCTGGTGTTATTTCCGTAAGGCTTCATCAGTGCTTGGTAAAGTCCAGGTTCCAGGACAGCCTTGACTCTTAAAGCAGCCTTTGTGAAGAAACACCCATCTTGAAGGGGACATGCTCAGAGCAGGCTGCTTTGTATCTGGAGACTCCCCTTAACAGCCTCTGGTTCCCCCAGCCCCACCCAGGGCCAACACATTAGCTCAACGTTTCCTGAGCACTAATGTCTTTTGAGTTTTATTAACAAAAATACTCTGATCCTGAGAACAAATTGGTGTGGCTTACACTAGTGATGAGGCCCCCAGGAGGTGGGGGTACTGGGCTGAGGCCCCATTTGGCCAGGCAGAGTTTCCCTCCATTCGCACTGAGGTGAGAGCTGAGAAGGGGAAGCTGGCCCCAGCTGGACTCTGAGCCGCCTTGCCTGAGCTTTGAAGCCAGAGGGGGTGGAGTAAAGTCAAGGTGTGAACTAAGGGTTCGAAGAGAGGCTCAAGGCAGCCATTTGGTGGGGGTAGGAGGAGGCACCACTTGAATGAGGGTGCTACCAGGCTGGGGGAAGGGAGTTGGAGGTTTTCAAGGGAAGATGGCATAGGCTTTGGCTTGGCTTACGTCTATGCTCAGTACATTGGCTTGGATCCCATGTCCAGATAACCTCCAGGTCCTGGGTATGCTAGAGGGAAGGGACCCCCTTGAAGGAAGTGTGGGGCAAAGGATGGCACAGATGGAGCTGCCTGATAAGCAGAGCCCCCTGGTCCAGGCTGTAGCTCCAGGAATGCAGCTGAGTAGGGGGCTGGGCGCCCAGGGTCTGGTGCCTCCGGGAAGCTGGGGTTCCTGAAATCAGAGGGTTATCAGAACAGGAGAGGGCCACCCACCTCCTGGAGCACACAGCCTCCTGCTCCTGCCCACCTTACCTGGCTGGCAGGTGACTCGGGGCCCCGTGAAAAGCTGCAGGGTGCAGGAGGTAGGCCTCAGCACTAGGGCCACCACATGGAGGAACTGAGGCAGAAGCAGCTTCCTGGGGAGCTGGGGCCTGCTCTGGATCCGAGTCCCGAATGTCCCCACCCAGGGTTGAGTCACAGGGACCCCCTGGTGTATCTGAGTGGACAAAAGGCACAGGTTGGCTAGGAGAGGCTCTGCCTCAGGCTGGGCCCCATCACCATCAGGACAGCACTCACCCCCACTCCCACAGGCCTCTGTGGCCACTGGCTCTGGGCCTCGAAGTTTCCTCTTCACACGTGCATCTCGCTCCCTGGGGAATGGTGATGATGATGATGGTGATGATGATAATGATGATGGCACTAATAGTACTTACCAGGTGCCAGGCATTTCACCATTCCAGGCACCCTGCTGGGCAGGTGCTATATTATACCCATTTTACAGATACGGAACTGAAGGCCAGAGAAGCCACCCAAAAGCAGCAGAGCTGAGGTTTCACTCGGACTTGGAACTTGGTTCTTCCTTGGGTACTTAGAATCTGTGCACCTTCCCAACCGCACAGCCAGGCCCTCTGCCCCTTTTTACAGCCACCTCACAGGATTTCCGGAGTCTTTCTGGACCTGACTGATGGCCTCCCTCATGGCATGTCATAGCTCTACATTTGAGCTAGTGAACCAGTTACACTGGGACAGACTAGAAGCTCCCCTGAGGCCTAGATCAGCTCTCAGGGGCTGTCTTCTGGCTTGCACTCACTTCCCTGACTTGTCCCAACATTCTTCTGCCTTGCTGTAGACTCGGGGCCTTTGCACTTGTGCTTTGCCAGACACCCACAGAGCTCTGTCAAATGTCCTCAGGGGTGTCTTTTATCTGTCACCTCCCCCCCCCCCCCCGTCTTTCCTGTCTTTCCCACGTCCACTCAATTGTATGAGAACTAAGCAATCCTAAGTATTTGTTGAATCAAAAGTGGATAAATGTTTTTACTTACCACCATGTTCCCGGTACTAGTAAACATTGATTAAATGTATGATGCCCACCTCTTACAGTTTCTGCCATTTTCTCGGAAACCTTTGGCAAAGGGATTGGCTGCAATCTTCAGCTGTGTGATCTGAGGACACACATCCAGGTCAAAGCTCCTGTAGCGTGGGCAGGGGACTGCCCCTCCCTCAAGCAGGGTCACTCACCCTAGGGTTCTGGTAGGCTGTCACAGAGATGAATGTGGTCTCGGGAAATCGGAAGGAGGCCACGCCCCCCCAGTGTTGGCTGCAAAGCTGGGCGGCCCTCACCAGGTGGATGCGAGGCTGGTACTTGTGCATGGAGTGTAGGATCAGCTGGGAGGGAAGAAATGGGGTGATTCCCAGCCCCGGGCCCCAGCCTTCACCTTTCCACCCAGTACCACCCTAAAACTCTATCAAAGAGTCCCAGCCTGGGTCTCACATGGCCGTGGGGGTCCAGCGTGCTGTTGGTGAGCTTCACGCGGTGGAAGGATACGGGTTGCCGCATCCAGTGGGCACCTGTGGCAGGGGAGTCAGGGTGGATGTACACGCGGTCGGGCAGGCGGGGCTCGGCCTTGCCGCTAGGCTCCCAGTGCTGGCCCTGCCAGCGGTACCGAGCTCCGTCCACTGGAACCACATCCAGAAGAAACAAGTAGCGGGCCTCTGGGTCCAGGCCAGTGACTGACACTCGGCAGGCAGGGAACATGCGCCTGCGCAGGAGAAGGGGAGGAAGGGAGAGGCCTGGAGCTACCCACCACCAGGGGTGAGCCCAGCACCAGCAAAGGGACTAGCAATAGGCACCTCACCGGTTGTAACGGCAAGGGAGGTGTAATTAGATTCTCAAGTGCAGAATGTAAGAGCTGGAAGGCTGATTCCGTTTTACAGACAGAGAAATGGAACAGACATGTTAGGAGATCCGACAGGCCAGAACAAGTTAATCTCCTCCCCACTTGCCCCTTCACTCTCTCCATTCTAGTTACAACACGGTACAATCCTGTCTTAGAGCCCTGGCCACTTCCTGGCCAAGCTCCTGCCCCTATTCCCTGTAACATTTGCAGAAACAATGGTGACTACTTCCTGAAGCCTTAGGGACATCTTGGTCCCCACCTTGGTGCAGCACTGACCTCTGCGAATACTAATTTTATTCAGAAATAAGAGGTGCCGGGCCCTGGGGATGGGATTTATCTAGGGTTCAGGCACTAGAAACCTTGCCAGAGCTCACACACTGACCCTTAACTTTCCTCCAGGTGAGCTGGGACTTAGCCACATACTGACCCTGATCCTGGGCAGATTTTCCCAACACTGATCACTGGCTGGTCCTTGATGCTTCTCATAGGCTGTCTGTTTCTGAGTTAGGCCACATGCCAACCTACAACCCAGCCAGACTTCCCTGCCCCAAGTCCAGACTGACCTCTCTGACCCTTAATAGCATGGCTCCTAAAACCAGCCACAAACTCCCCAGACTGATCCTTGAACCTCACCACAGTAAAACTCCTCCTGTTCGTCTAGTGTCACAGAGAGTGTCAGATTCTGCTCTCTGGGTTGTCCCAGCCCTGGAGAAGCCCCTAAAGCTAGCTCTGTCCCCGGGAACTCTATCTTTTCCGAAGCTGACCTGGCCACCCCTCACCTGCCAGCCTTGGTGATGATCATCTCTGTCCCCACAGCGCTGAACTCTTTCCACAGTTCCTGGTTCTCCAGGCTCAGGCTGACCCCAGGAAGCGAGTGAAGGGCCTCTGAAGGTGGCTGTGCTGTCTCAGGGCCCAGAGCAGACGGCAGAAGGGGCAGAGGAGGGGGCGCAGCCAGAGAGTGGGGGGCTGCCTCAAGCCCAGAGAAGAAGCAATCCAGTTTAGAGGTCTCCAAATCTGGAGATGCGGGAAGAATGAGGATGCGGGGAGGGTCACATATTCCCAGTCTCCTGCCCCCTACCCAAAGCCAATCCAACCGCTCACCAGGGTAGCGGTAGCCCTCTGCCAGGGCAGGTGGGAAAGTAGAGTCGGCCCCAGGCTGGGGGTGTCCCAGACGGTAGCCTGTACCCAGGGAGGGGTACAACTCTCGTGGATGGTACATGTTGTAGTCTCTTCTGGCCTTGTGTCCCGTTGCTGGAGTCCGGGGTCTAAGAGATGCCCCCTTTATAGCTCACAGCACAGCCCCTTCCAAACTAGAGATCACAGCCCCTCCCCTCCTTGGGGCCCTGGAGGTGGGTTGAAATGGAGACCCCTGGGGCCTCGAAGGGGTCCAAGAGGAGGCCGGATACCTGTGTACCCTCCCCTCTCCCTCGCGGCTTCACTAGTCCCGACCCCCTGCCCCCTCATTACATAATTAACTCCTCGGCCTGATTGATCCCTAGGGCTAGGACAGGGACGCAGTTTGGCGCTTCCGGCCAGCTGGTCTCCGTTCCCACGGTGGGGGCAGACCGGCTGGGGGGCAGGGGTGGGATCTGGATCCCGGTACCGAGTCTAGCTAGGATCCCTGGTTAGACCCTAGACTTTCTGGAAGGTGGCCCCTCCCTTTTCTTCATTTGGAAGACTAGCCTTGAGAAGTGAACTGGAGTACAAGTGCAGGGTTGGTGTCTGAGCTCATTCGCCAGACACTGGGCACCTTCAAGAGACCACAGCAGAGGACAAAAGTCTAGAGTCCTCCTTGGTTTATAGTCGGAAAAGCCTCCGCCAAGTCTCAAAAGTTGAGGGGCGTGCACAGCTACAGTTTGTGTGGTATCCTGTGCAAGGCGCAAGCTCTCACTCAGGGAACACTTCAACTACACTTCCCAGCAGGCATTGCGCCAGTCGCACGCAAAGGCCACACACAGGCTGAGCTGGGGATGCTGGGAATTGTAGTTCAGACAGGGACAGCAAAGCGAGGAAAGTGGTGGCCTTCCCTGAAGCTTGCGCCCTGGGCACTAACGCCAAGAGGTCGTACACTGGCAAGAGGTCGTACACTGGCAAGAGGTCACGGGCTGGCCCAGTTTGGTTTGTTCCTGCCCAATTCCCCCTGCTGAGGGTCAATGGAACCTGTCTATAGAGAAACAGCTTGGATTCCAGGTCCCCCTTTTGCATTCCACGTGAGCCAGGGGCTGTCTCCATTCCATTGTTTTATTATTTACAAACGCTACAGAATGAGAACAGACACGCGGCGGGTAAGAGGGATCCAGTGGGAGAGGTTCACAGAAAGATAGTGCACCGGGGTCAGGAGAGCAGCACACAGGCCATATCTATGGAACAGGCAGGACAGGAAGGGGTTAAAAAATGAGATCCAAGCCAGCCAGATCGCAGGGAGGTGCGGGGGGTAGAATCCCCCTCCTGGTCTCCCCCCAAGGTCACAGTGCATGCAATAAAATATATGTACAGGAGCTGGATCCTTCCCCTGTGGGAGCCCTGAGGGTCCAGAGCTCCCTTCAGGAGGAGCGAAACCAGTGGCTCCCCCTGGCGGCCAGGCCAGGCTGAAGCCACATGCGTCAGGAGCTAGGTCAGTCCCAGCCGTTGTCTTTGATCATGTGGTTGAGTTCAATGATGTACTTCCCCTCTTTGTATTTCTGGCTGCTCTCAAAGGCTTGCTCCTGAAAGGAGAGAAAGGGCTGCCATTCGCGGACAAGACTTTTATGACTAGGTAAAGGGATTGGGAAACGGATATGGTTGGTTTTGTTTTATATATGAAAAAACCATGGCCCAGAGAAGAAGCCCAGTTACCAGGCCACAAACACACAACTGGCAGAGCTATTTCTCACGGGGAGTAGGGAGAACTCTGAATTGTGGGTAGTTCTGAACCTTAATGACAGCTCCAGCAGGGAGGAGGATGTGGAAGTTTCTAGAAGATTTCATAGTCTAGGGATTGCAAACTGGTGGCCTAGGGGCCATTTCAGCCTACAGGTTTAGAGAGCAGAGAGCTTAATATAAATAACTTTAGGGGTTGGGGAAGTTTGGCATGTGGGAGGGCCTGTTTCGATACAAGCACCACATTAAAAAAAACAACACACACAATAAAACTTCCACACTAAACTATAGATATGCGCGTTCTCTCCACCTTGCCCCAGCCTGCTCTCCCTGCCTCAAAACTATGCCACCCATTTACAAATCTACAGTAATTGCTTGGCTTTCTAGACGCTTGAGGGTTTTTGTTGCCCTGGGTGTCCCGGAACTCACTACACACACCAGGCTGGCCTAGAATTCAGAGATTGCTTGCCCCTGCCTCCTCAGTGTAGAGATTAAAAGCATGCACCACAGACTGCTGACACAAGGCTTTGTTTTGTTTTGGTTTTTTGAGACAGGGTTTCTCTGTGTAGCCTTGGCTGTCCTGGACTTGCTTTCTAGACCAGGCCTGCCTTGAACTGACAGCAATCCACCTGCCTCTGCTTCCATAGTGCTGGGATTAAAGGTGTGCACCACCCAGCAACACCTGAGTTCTTAACCTCTGGTCTAGGCCCATTTTTAGGAGTTTCAGAGGGGCCAAGCAACCTGGCCAGAAGCGCCCAGCAAATCTGTGGCAGGGCCAGATAGTGGCTTCGAGCTCCAGTGCCAGATAAGGAAATGAGACTTGAGGTTGTGAAGTCAGACGCTAAACCATTAGCAACTGGAGCTGTGGGAAGGAGATCTGTGGACCTAACTTCCACATTGCTGCAGGGTCTTAGTTGTGTAGCCTTGGACAAACGTCCTAACACCTTCAGACCTCCACGTAACAGATTCTGCCACCAGAACCACTGCAATGACTGAAAGAGAGGCTATATGCATTAACACATTAACAGTGTGTTAATGTGCACGGCATATTAGCCCTCAATAAATGGCGACTCTACTTGCTCCTCATCTCTAGTGTAGGCCCTGCAGAATGCAAGGGACAAACAGCAGTCACTGGGGAAAACCTGTTTTGTCTGTGCTGGGCCAGTTGAACTCTGAAAGGTGTATGCTTTCAAGGAAGAAGGGATGTGAGGCTAGGTCAAAGGCCAGCCTGGGGTCAGAGATCACAAACTCACATATTTCCAGCCCAAAGTGGTCTTGCAGTTCTCACAGTGGATGTCCGCGACAGCATGAAGGCCTGTCAGCAGCACCCGCTCTTCTGCTGGCCCGCAGCCCACGTTCACCCTGTGGGGACAAAGTGTAGTCCCAGGGAGGGTCTCAGCAGCCCAGAGCCCCCTCTAGCTAGTATGTTCCGTGTCTGTTCTTAGCCTCTTAAGAGAGGCCCGATCATGGCTTCCTGTCTGAAACAGGGACTCTGGGAATATTGGCACGATGCCAGGGGTCACAGGTCATAACAGAGGTCAGGAAAAGAAAGGAAGGAGATGAATACTCACACAGAGTTGAAGAGGTAGGCACGCCCCTGACTGCCCTGGAAGGACTGGAAGGTAGAGTGGGGAGAGGAGAGGAGGGGGTTAGGGCTATTGGTGGGGAGTTGCCAGGCAGCCCACTGCCGCCCTAGACTCAAATGTAGCCTGCTTACCTTGGAGATGAGGTCGTCGTGATTGGCCAGGTGGGCACGGCAGTGGGCACAGCTATACCTCCGGTGACAATCATCCAAGTAGGCCTGAAACGTCTTGGGCTTTGAAATCCGCACCATGGCGGGGGCCAAGGGCAGTGGCCCCACGCGGGGAGCGGCCCACGGGGAGCAGAGGGAGCCCAGTGCCTGCCAGGGAGGAGAGGTGCACCGTCAGGACCGAGGCCACGCGTATGTGGGCAAGCCCAGAACTACAGGGACTCTGTCACACTTGGCTGCTCTCTCCTTTCCCTAGAGCCAGCAGTCTCACCAGGGACCAGAGTCATCTCAATTTTGACTCACTGAGGAGGCCTCAGGTTGCATCAGCAGGTAAACTGAGGCTAGGTGAGTCACCCACCTGCTTCTGGCCTCACCCCTGCTGAGCTGGCATCTGAAACGGGAAGAAGGGGCTTCAGGGTGGATGGGCTGCCAGTTTTTAGTTTCCAGGGGGCTTAGGGGGAGTGTGTAAGAAACTGATCTGTCCTTGGGACTCTACCTGGACTAGGGATAGGGCAAATGTGGAGTATATATGGAGTTGGCTTGGGCGAAGGGTCTCTCACCTGGAGGAGGGCAGGAAGCCTCCCCAAAGGAGGAGGGTCCCCTAGGAAGAGGAGGGACTTTCTGGTGGAGGCGCCGAGCCTCATCTCCGCCGAGGGGATCTTACCTGCCATCGCCAGACCTTACCTGAGACCCCGGGGCTCACCTGGGGCGAGGGGATGGGGGCGCGCGCGCGGGGGGGAAGGGGCAGTCCTCGCTTGCGGGGCGGGGGCGCAGGGCGACGCGCAGAGACGTCAGTCCAGGCCTCACCTCGCCTGGGCGCGCGGAGGGCCCGGTCCGCGGGGTGGCCTGGCCTGGGAGTGGGGGGCGCTCCTGATGGGCGCCGTCCCCCCCGGCCCGGTTCGCAGCCGCCTCGACTTGTTTACACCGAGACCAGCTGCTGCCGCGGCTGCGGCGGGAGGGGGAGGGGGCCGGCCTCCTGTCCCGGCGGCCGCCCTGGCCAATCGGAGCGCCGCATGCAAATGAGGGGGCGCGTCATCCGGCGGCCGGCGCAGGCAGGGCTGCCCCTCCCCCTGCGCCCGGCTCCCGCTAGCTCGCTGGCCCGGAAATGCGGCTGCAACCCAGGCGGTGGCCCGGCCCGATCGTCCCTTTAGCTACCCCTGGTGATCGGAGAGGCTCAGCGTGGGGGCAGAGGCAGGGCGGTGTCTGTACGCACACCCCTGAGAAACAGCAATAATGGTCTTCGTTTATCCACCCACCACCGTGGTGTGTAATCCCTGCCACAACCCTGTAGTTTCTCCATTTGACCGGGTTCTCCAGAGATTATCCAGATGGTAAGAGTCGGAGTTGGAATTCTCACTTTAACCAAGCTCGTGAAACAACAAAGTCCTAGAAGGGAAGGGCTAGAGATGCCCTTTTGCTATTAGACGCCCAGCAACCAACGCTTCAGAAGCCAATCTCTGCTGCTGGGCATCATCCGCCTCGGGCATCCTCTGGTTCGCCCCGCCTCCAGGCTACTGTAGGCCTGACCCTAATGGAAATGTCTGTTTCGACGTGTGTCTGCCATACAGAAGACTCGCGTTCGCTTGCAGAGTCTCAGTACCCAGCAGGCC